TTACTGCTGTCTAAGCCCAACAGAGAGTGTGGGTGTTTGCGGTTGGAGAGGGCTGCTTGCAAAAACACATGGGTTGGTGTAGCAGGAAGTTCACAAGCCACTTGATAGCTCTGTGACTCTGGATATGTTGCTTAGATTACCCAAGCCTGTATTTTCTCACCTGTAATACAAGGCTGATGTATGTGCTGTGGGGCAGTTGTGAGAACTGAATGTGCATTTAATAAACGACTCATGCCTCTCTCTTGTACTCTAGTCCATGGTGTCCTTATAAATGGGATCATCAAATCACAAAATCCATGAATATGTGGTCTAAGTACAACATTCCTAATTGAGAATTCCAAGCTGGGCTTTGGATTCAGACACATCTATCTATATTTAAATCTTGGTTCTGCCACATACTAGCTTCTTTTCATTTCAGCTCTTTGAGTCTCATTTCCTTTATGAGGTCAAAAATGCTTACACGGCAGGATTGCTATCAGAAATAATAAAGTGAAATTCATTCCGTGTTGCGTGCATCATCCCATTGTTATATGTTTATAACAATCTTTTTAAATTTTATTTTATTTTTTTCATCACCATTTATCCCCTCTATGACCTCTTTATCACAGTCTTTTGAGTTAATGTCATCATTACCTGCATTTCATAGATAAAGGAGTGGTCATCTACGGTTAAGAGGCCATCTAAGAGGCTAAGTAACATAACTCCTGAAATTCACAAACAGGAATGGCAGAATTGGGACTTAAAACCCAGGTCTCTTCTCTCTCCAAAGGTTGGCACGTAATGCATATGCTGTCTTCCTACCCAGTAAAGTGAGTGAGACAATGAATATAGAGACTTGAATACAGAGTCTTTAGCACATTGTGGGCACTTAATAAGCAGAGTTTCAATCAGGTACCCAAGTACCTCACAGCCATGATCCCCAGCCTTCAGAATGAGCAGCTTTACTCTTCCCTTACTAGACTCCCCTGGTTGGCCAGGGGCCACCGCACTTTGAAATGCAGGAGGGGCAGGAGGGATGGGAGAGCCAATGCATTATTCTAATTCCACTTGTCTAATGGACTTGTTAAAAGCACCCTGGGTGGGAAGTGTGAGTCTTAATGGCATTTTATAAAAGTTGTTGTGATGAATTAGCACATAAAGCAAATTAAAAACAGCTTATCGCTTTTTAAATTAAGTGATGAGGCATTGGAGCATTTTTCCCCAGATGTGAAGATCCATTAATATCCAAAGGAGCCAGAGGCTGCTGAAATGTATCAGCTGCTTGTTTTTAGGGACCTGACAAGTCTGAATCGGTGTAATTCTAGTGGAGAAGGTTGTCCAAGATAAATAGCACTCATGGAAGGAGTGTGTCACCGATCCCCTCCCCCGAGGACTCCAATTGCTGAAGGCCAGAGTGGGAAACCTCCCCTCAGAGATTCTTGGGAATAGAATGGAGCTCAGTAAATGAGTGTTTGACTCGGTGGGCACCTCTGGAAACAGTCCCTACTCCCCTCCCTTTACACATGGGGACACTGAGGCTTTCGATAAGTAGGGCTTCTGAAGGTCATCTGAAACATTTCCACAGACCTGTTCTGAGGATCCACCTAGTGCCCAGTGCTATACTGGGTCCTGAGGATAGAGGGGGTTTTAGATGTCTGTACAGAGTCCACAAGACAGCTGTATGAAGTGGCCCAGTTGGGACCCAGACCCCCTGATTCAAAGCCTCATACATTTTTCAGAATAACAATTATAATAGTAATAATAGCTAACATTTATTGAGCACTCATTGGTGCCAAGTTGGTGTGGCAATACTTTACATATATTATTTCATTTAATCCTCAGCTGCTATTACTATGCCAGTTTTATGGTTAATAAAATTTGAAGCCCAGAGAGGTTAAGTAACTTGTTCAAGGTCACACAGTTCAAAAAGCTGCAAACCCAGACAGTCTGAAGCTAGGGCCTGCCTTCTCAGCCACCATCTGTCAGCTTTCCTGATGGCTTTCCTACCTCTGCTCATTACATTTTATATCCAGAAGGCGCCTGGAGCCAAACCAGAGCTTCAAGGATTTCTAAGATAAGAAATGCTGGGACAAGAGCTGAAAGGCAGGGGAACTCCAGGGATTTGGAGGGGAAGAGGTGATCTCTGAAGCAAAGACTAAAGGATCATGATGCTGCTAAGTTGAGAGCATGGCTGGAGAGTGACAGGCTGGGAAATTGAGCCTGATGATGAAATGTCCAAGAATGTGGATTTTGAGACCCTTCCTTATCTGTAAAACAAATACGAATGTTTACCTTTCGGGTTGCTGTGATGTCAAGTAAGACAATGAATACAAAGTGTCAGGCCCCTAACATGGGCATTAGTACTGGTGGCCATCGTGGTTATCATCCTTGCCACCTGTGACCACCTTTACCACCTCCAAGATTGAGAGGGGACAAGGTAAAAAGCATGGAGCTGCGACTCGGGATCAGGAGACCCAAGCTCCAGCCCCAGGTCCTGCCCCTAAGCCATGTATCCTGGGGTAGTGAGTGGGCCTCGCCAGATTCATCCCTTATCTATAGAAAGGGAACAGCGCTGTGTATGTCATACCTTCTTTGTAGGACTGGATCGAGTCACAAATGAGGTAGTATATCGAAATATACTTTACAATCCATAGAGTGAGTGCTGGGGTCCCCAAGACAGCTCCCAGGTCAATGGTTCACTAGGAGGGCTTACAGGCCTCAGCCCCATCGTACTCATGACTCTGGTTTATTGCAGCAAAAAGATTCAAAGCAAAATCAGCACAGGAAGGGTCAAAGTGCAGAGGAAACTGGGCGCTAGTTTCCAAGAGTCCCCTCCCAGTGGAGTCACCCAGGACATGCCCAGTTCCTCCAGCAACAAATTGCGACAACAGGCATAAAATATTTTCTACCGGGGAAGTTCATTAGAGACTCAGGGTCCAGGGTTTTTTGGGGGCGCAGATCACACAGACACCCTCTGCCTGGCACATTTCCAGACTCCCAGAAGGAAAGCCAGTGTTCGGCACCGTTGTTAGTGATACAGTTTAGGCACAGTGGGCCATTCTGCGTAGGAAACGGTGAGAAACTTCCCAGAACCTATGTTCCCAGAAGTCGGCCAAGGGCCACCCCTGCAAGCAGGGCTTTTTAAGGAGAGCAGCCTCAGGATTGCTATGTTAGCGACTTTTTGCACAGAGTAGCATTCGTAGAAAGGATTTTTATGAATATACACTCAAGGGAAAGGGGAAATAATAATATCAACAACAGTTCATATTTACTGATTGTCCCTATCCACATATTGCCTTACGTAACATTTCATCCATGCAATTCCTCAAAGGAGGTACTATTACCACCACTCTGGAGTCTATGAGAGGTTAGGTAGCTTGCCTGGGTAACCAGCTATATGACTCGTAGGAAGTCATAGGACAGGGATATTGCCCCACCAGTGTGGCCTCTCAGTCTATACTATTAACCCCTGTATTCCACTCTGCTACACTGCACCTACCTGGGGCTGGGAGCTTTGTATGTGTTATTTTATTAATGTTGACAACAGGTCCATGTGAATATAGTTATTGGACTATTTTGTATTAACTAACCCGTGGCTCAGGAATATTAATTTATGTCACATCACTCCACCCGAGAAGTGACAGTGTCCGGAGAGGGTGTCTGCCCTCTCCCAGCCCTCTTTCCCTGGCAGGGGCTTTGTTGAAACTTCAGGTGGGGAACATGCAAATGATCAAGGTGGAAATGGTTCATTTTGGGGGTTGGGACCTAGAAACTTCCCCCCTATTCTTCATGTGGGGACAGAGTTAGTGGAAGAAGGGGTTGTGTTGCAAGGAATTCAACTTTTCCTGCAGTATTTTGGAGCTTTAGATGCTGTCTTCAGCTCTTTTTGGTTGCCATGACAGCAGACATGGCATTTATTTCATGAGAGAAAAATAAGAAAGGAAAAGACACACACTTGGTCCTCAGTGATATTAGAAAAGTCTGTTTCCCATATCTAGCTAATTCTTCTTGCACAGTGGTTACATTTTAGGGAAATTCTTAGATTGGAATCACAAGGGAATACACAGGGAGATGGCAGAATCTGCTTTTCCAGAGAAATTGTATGTTGTGCGTGTGGTGGTTTGTGAGAGTGGGGGGTACAGGAGAAGGGAGACAATACAGGACTTGAGACAAATTGTCATCTTCTGAAAGCACCAGCTGGTTACTAAGGTCCTGGTCATCATTTTAATTCTGCCTCCAACTCCCTCACCCCACTAGTCATACATGTGTTGGGCTTTGCTAGGCTAAGCAAATGCTCTTTGGTGGGGAAAGCATGATACATAAAACAAGAATTACAATTCAGGGTGATAACTGCAATAATGAGGTAGGTTCAGCATTCTATGGAAGCAACAAGATTTGTCCTGTTCATATAATTTTGATCTATCTATATACACACACCCATAAACACAGGTGTCTATATTTGCATTATTGCATTTTAAGCATTTATTTATGTCATTATATTAACCTCTGCAGTGATGGGTTAGTGTTCCAGGTGAGTGGAGGGATCACAATCCCCTGTGAATGGAGAGTTTCCCCTATTATAAAGGGAAGAGTTCTACAGACTGATACATCTGAGAGGATTTGTTCATTACACAAATGTTTTATTCAGGAAAGATGCTCATGTTTCTCTTCTTTTTAGTGATTTAAAAAATTTGACTATAGTGGAAAGGAAAGAAAAGTCTTCATTAGGTACTAAACTGTCTTCATTAGGCACTTTACCATCTCCTATCATCACCTGTCACAGATGATGGCCTCCAAGAAAAGTGCCCCAGTTTTAGGGTTCCCCCTGCAGTTGCCAAGGGGAAGCAAGTACTAGCCTCAATTTGTAGCCAAAGCAATGGGAATGTGGACTGTGATTTGGGAGTTAGTCCTAGAAGTTGGATGATGGATTTTCAGGACAAGATTGAATAATCAAAATTATGAACCCTAAATCTGTGCTCCAGAGATCCCTAACAATGTCCTCTGTCGTTGGTTTTCTCCAGAGCCATGTTTGACTATGACAAGAGCAAGGACAGTGGGCTGCCAAGTCAAGGACTTAGCTTTAAATACGGAGATATTCTCCATGTTATCAACGCCTCTGACGATGAGTGGTGGCAAGCCCGGAGGGTCACCCTGGAGGGAGACAGTGAAGAGATGGGGGTCATCCCCAGCAAACGGAGGTAAGAACATTTTCGCATTTCAGATCATTTGCTCTTCAGCTATCCAGTGAGTGGAGATGAGGGAAGATGAACATGTGGCAAACTGTGCACAAAATATCTATTAGAGTAGGATAGTCAGTCTGCGGGAAATAGGTGACATGAATTAAATATTCCCACTCTCTTCATATTAGGGTTTTACTGAAACTGGTGACTGTAATAGGGCATAAAGGAAGGAACGGTGTCTGCTTACACTGCTTCTGAAAGCCATCTACCAGCACTCACATTTCAAGATTATGTTTATCAGCTTGTATGCTGACTTAGAAACTCAGAGGGTTTATTCCAAAGGTTCAAAATTTAACAGATAATCTCATAGAAAGACCAGGTAAAAGCCAAATAAAGCAGATTGTTTACTAAGCTAAGGCCTTGGTTGTGCATTACCTCCAAATACTGAAGGAAATAAACCAAAAACCTCCGTTCCAAATTCAGGTGCGTGGGACACGAGCTGTCAAACATTGGGTAAGGCCGAGAGACTGGCTTTACAACTGTTTTGCACTCTCTTAGTTACGCCTGTTCCCGACCCTGCCCTACAACTTTCCACTCCCACTCAGCTGTTGAGTTCCGGATTTCCTAAGTCGAGAGTATTATGCTCTTTCCTTTCTAAGCATTTGTTCAGCTCTGCTTTTGAAAGGCTGGGATATCCTTCGGAACAGCCAGCTCCTTCTTCGGTCCCAGCAGTTTCTACCCACCACCAGCAGAAAGGAACCTCCCTTACCCCAGATATTAGCTAAGAAACATTACCTGCACCCTAGAAAAGAGATGTGGCAAGAAATCAAAGTGAGGAATAATGCGTGTTCACAGCAGTCACCAACTTTTCCTGAGCTGCAGGTTTCTCGAAGGGCTCACCTGACATCCAGACACCCCAATACCCTCAGTGAAGCCGAGTACGTAAGTGCTGCCACACAACGTGATCTAGTGGCTGAGCTGGCACGGACCACAGTGGAAGATGTAAATTAAACCCAAGAGTAACCCCATGGGGCATTTGCACGCAAAGAAGCCTGGTCTCCCATCTTCCTCTGCCTGTGGCCACACAGCCTGGGGAGAAATGTGAGGGGACGGCAGCAGGCAGGCTGTTCCACAGCTGCTCCCTCACCCTTAGGGGGGCAGAGTTCCAGGGAAGCAACTGAAACTATAGCGAACCTCCCCCCACCCCAAACCCCC